TGATGTGGAATATATAGAACCGTACACAACAGGAGACTTTCTTCTACAGTGTTTTTGTTGTTGATGTGGAACATTTAGAACCGTACAGAACAGGAGACTTTCTTCTACAGTGTTTTTGTTGTTGATATGGAACATATAGGACCATACACAACAGGAGACTTTCTTCTACAGTGTTTTTGTTAATATGGAACATATAGGACCATACACAACAGGAGACTTTCTTCTACAGTGTTTTTGTTGTTGATGTGGAACATATAGAACCGGAGACTTTCTTCTACAGTGTTTTTATTGTTGATATGGAACATATAGAACCGTACACAACAGGAGACTTTCTTCTACAGTGTTTTTGTTGTTGATATGGAACATATAGAACCGTGCACAACAGGAGACTTTCTTCTACAGTGTTTTTGTTGTTGATATGGAACATATAGAACCGCACACAACAGGAGACTTTCTTCTACAGTGTTTTTGTTGTTGATGTAGAACATATAGAACCGTACACAACAGGAAACTTTCTTCTACAGTGTTTTTGTTAATATGGAACATATAGAATAGTACACAACAGGAGAATTTCTTCTACAGTGTTTTTGTTGTTGATGTAGAACATATAGAACCGTACACAACAGGAGACTTTCTTCTACAGTGTTTTTGTTAATATGGAACATATAGAACCGTACACAACAGGAGACTTTCTTCTACAGTGTTTTTGTTAATATGGAACATATAGAACCGTACACAACAGGAGACTTTCTTCTACAGTGTTTTTGTTGTTGATATGGAACATATAGAACGGTACACAACAGGAAACTTTCTTCTACAGTGTTTTTGTTAATATGGAACATATAGAACCGTACACAACAGGAGACTTTCTTCTACAGTGTTTTTGTTGTTGATATGGAACATATAGAACCGCACACAACAGGAGACTTTCTTCTACAGTGTTTTTGTTGTTGATGTGGAATATATAGAACCGTACACAACAGGAGACTGTCTTCTACAGTGTTTTTGTCGTTGATATGGAACATATAGAACCGTACACAACAGGAAGCTTTCTTCTACAGTGTTTTTGTTAATATGGAACATATAGAACCGTACACAACAGGAGACTTTCTTCTACAGTGTTTTTGTTGTTGATGTGGAACATATAGAACCGTACACAACAGGAGACTTTCTTCTACAGTGTTTTTGTTGTTGATGTGGAACATATAGAACCGCACACAACAGGAGACTTTCTTCTACAGTGTTTTTGTTGTTGATATGGAACATATAGAACCGTGCACAACAGGAGACTTTCTTCTACAGTGTTTTTGTTGTTGATATGGAACATATAGAAGCGTACACAACAGGAGACTTTCTTCTACAGTGTTTTTGTTGTTGATATGGAACATATGGAACCGTACACAACAGGAGACTTTCTTCTACAGTGTTTTTGTTGTTAATGTGGAACATATAGAACCGCACACAACAGGAGACTTTCTTCTACAGTGTTTTTGTGTTCCCTTATTTTGTTTCATGAGTCTACTTTGATTCTATGCTGGGTACTGTTTGTCTGGTAACGAGACACGGCCCCATGACTTAAATGGGATTAATACTGTACATTCAGGCATTGAATTTTTTATTCAAAATGATACGTCATGCTCTAAGCTCTTCGCCTTGGAAGGTACAGACATTTGTGGAATTTAATTAACCCTTTTCTCCATTTGAGTCGTAAACACTACTGACCCACTCCTGTCACAGTCATGTTCTGCAGATCCATGAATAAGCTTAATCTGTCAAATGTTCCACATCAGTGGTAAGGTTTCAGGAGTGTAAAGTGTAATTGTAGATTCAACAGCATATAACAGTTGACACCAAGTCCTGATAGGTATTATTTAGATGGTATAAAATGGTATCAATTTAACCTCGCTGTTCACCGTCTCCATTACAAGCCAAGGTTGCCCAACGGGGATTCTGATGGACCTAACTTATATTACATCTGAGTGAAAGAGTTTAATGAGGCCGTGTTCTATGCTGGCAAGGTGGGAGGACACGCAATCAAACTGGTCTCCTCGGATGACCACCCGATCCCTTCAGCCTGGCTAACGCAAGGTTACTCATTCCCACCCGGAATCCCCGTTGGGGAAACCACACAAGTCTTCACTCTTATAGACATCCGTGAAGATCCGAGTGAAAATAGGTCTTCACCAACACATGCTTGCCGTAAGATGCGACAAGGCTTCTCGTAAGAGGCGGCTAACGGGATCGGGTGGTCAGGCGCGCTGACTTGGTTGATGCATGTCATCGTATCCCAATTGTGTGATGCTCATGATGTCAATCACTGGATTGTCTGGTCGAGACACTTTTTTTTACAGACCGCTGTCATATAGCTAGAAAATGGTTGGGTGCGGCGTTAACAACAAACAAACAAACAAACAAAGAGATACTGTTATAGAAACTCTTTTAATACCAGTGAATATTAACTGAACACTTTAGTGATTGGTGCCAGTGACTTTTAATTAGGGATAGTAACATTTCCGTAAGGATGAAAATCGTAGTCAATGCATACCAGTATATAGTTCTTCGAATCTTCAAGTCAGTTAAGCCGTCATTAAACGTCAAAGTTTGTTGTCATTTTGTTTTAATTTCAAAGTTTATCTGAAACACGCGTAATAGTAAACAGGGTACATTGATTATGACTGATATATACTACTCAAGGTTTGCTAAGGATCACCACTTTAAAAGTTAATACATCAAATTGTATGTATCTGTTGGAATAGCCAAAGACAATATTGCGTGAAGACATGTTTAACGAACAAAAGTCTGTTGACATGTGCCACACAATGCCAACAAAATATATGTGACCAATATTCAGTCAGATCGCCCGTCAATATGGAAGCATCTGACCAAAAATGAAACGTCAAAAAATCATAGAAACAAATTTATTTGTCCTAAAAAACAAGTATCATTTTGTAATATTGTACCGAGTACAATTACGAGTTCCTGGCTCAGGGTATTCAAGTAGAAACGATTGTTTTGAAACTTCTACTCTAGTTACTATTTGTGTTGCATACATCTTTAAAAGTCCAGTTTCCACTCTTGCCGAAGTAGGCTTGAATTCCTTGACTCGATCGTAGCGCCACATGTGGCTATTACGAGTTATGTCCCTTCTATGCCTCTCCTATGGACCAATCAGGTTCCACCTCTCGTATCACTTGCATTTGCTTCAAACAAAATGGCGGCGCCCAGTCAAGACGATTTGACCGATAATCAAGATCTATATTGTGATAAAACGAGTCTAACATAGTGAAGTGCATCAGATCACGCGAGCACCTTTATCAAAAACATGAAAAGATTTAGAAAATATTTGTTGACAACGAGTTGGCGGTACACATGCTTTTCAAATCCTGCAATGGCAGTTCACGAACCGGATTACGATTTCATTTTGATTGGACAATGAATAGACTCGTTAGTCCAGCCAAAATGTAACTCCGTAATACCAGCCTAGTTCGGCAAGGGTGGAAACCGGTCTTTTATAGTCAGTTAACTCATTTGCCTCGGGAAGATGTGTTTGAAATTAATTATTCAAGTTTCTAACATTAGAACAATCATGGAAGTGATATTCTAACGTCTCATAATCGCCATTGCAGAAGTAACACTTAAAGTAAACACCTAAACGATTAGGTTGTTGCCCGATCATTGTGTACCGGGATATTTCCATCTATATTTGTTGGATAAATTTTTATCATCATCAAAACTTGATCAATAGCAAACTTCGAGTAATATACAGGTACATGCGTTTTTAGCAATGCGTGGAAAAGTCTAAGAACCAACATAAATGTCAGACAGCATCTTTGTTGTTTAGCGTTATGGTCGCAAAACGCAAATTACATTTAGGTAAATGCAAAATATGCAATGTGTGAGTGAGTGGGTATGGTTTAACGCAGCTTTCAGCAAAGTTCCAGCAATAACACGGCGGGGGACACCAGAGTGAGTGAGTGAGTGAATATGGTTTTACGCCGCTTTTAGCAATATTCCAGCAATATCACGGCGGGGGACACCAGGAATGGGCTTCACACATTATACCCATGTCGGGAATCGAACCCGGGTCTTCGGCGTAACGAGCGAACGCTTTAACCAATAGGCTACCCTTCCGCCCCTATGCAATGTGTAGCCATACGGTGTGTAAAATACGGTGAGGGCTTCCAACATTTGTTGTTAACAAGCCCTCCCGGCCAGTGAACTAATACATACACTGGCTACACGGATGAATGCTGTTCATTTGGGGCTTTCCTGTACATTAGGCTACTCTTCCAACTTCTCAGTCGGGTAGCCCAGTGGTTAAAGCGTTCGCTCGTCACGCCGAAGACCCAGGTTCGATTCCTAACACGGGTGCGATGCGCGAAGCCAATTTCTGGTGTCCCCTGACCTGATATTGCTGGAATATTCTTTAAAGCGACGTAAAACCATATTGAGTCACTATTACGAGAAATACCCTGGACCTGTCACTTCGATTTGAGTCTGATTCTAACACAATGTTTAAAATAGCCGAGCAATTGAAATACACTCACAAAACAACGAAATAGTAGGCATGGTAAGAAGTGAAACCAGGGTACGTATCCGAACAGTATGGAGAGACATTGGGGTTATACAAGCAGTTGTGGAGGTAAGGCACATTTCACATGCAAATCTTATGTGGAAAAAAAGAACGAATTGAATGCCAGAAAATATTTTATCATCGAAAATTATTTGAGGCACTTTCATGAACAACAGTAAACTACGGTTATAACGAACTCAAAGGGACTACTATTTTTAGTTCGTTATAACCGTAGTTCGTTATAAGCATATATACAGCATCACTACAGCAAATAGTCTGTACTAAAAAGTTAGTTCGTTATATCCGTCAGTTCGTTATAAGCGTGTTCGTTATAACCGTAGTTTACTGTATATATGTCTGTGTGTGATATTGGGCAAAACATATTTCCCGTGAACATGTTTCTAAAAGTAATGCTGTCGCAACGCAGGTCAGGGAGCAACGCTGTCGTTCTCCAGCGAGGACCTGGTTACAAACAACTTCCCCTACACCAACGGCGACGACTTCGCCCTAATTTCTATGCACTTCCACGAACCTTCCGAGCATCACATCAACGGGACCTTCAGGCCGGCGGAGGTAACCACAAGTATCTTATACTTCCTCTTACAAACGCGGGGGCACGGTTAGCCCTGTCGTCTAAGGCGCTGCATTTCGCTGTGCAGAGTTGTGTCCCTTGGACACACCAGAAACCTGTGATCGTGGGTTGGAATCCCGAGTCGCTGGGATTATATGTCCAGGTTCGTCAGCACCATACCCGTGCTTGTGGGTTTCACCGAAATGGTAAACGTCTGAGACCTGAAACGTCTTTGAGAAGTGCACCTAGGGCTTTCATCGCGCATTAAGCTTACAATTTCCTGTATGGTGACATGTGTTTGTTTGTTGTTGGTTACATGTAACACCGTCCTGGTTACAGTTGCATCTGGTCCACTACAACAGGAAGTATGGCACCATCCAAGAGGCTGTGCACAGACATGATGGCCTGGCTGTCATCGGGATCATCCTCGAGGTAGGCTCTCAACTGCAGTTCAGGTGACAATTGACTTGCCTTTGCATGTGTTTGTCTCGGCTGCCACTGGTGGGACAGGATACGCTCTGCTTTTATGAGAACACCCGGTACCATCATTATTTTATAATGATTCATACACGCATGCTCATTACAGAGTCGGAATCGTACAATTGACTATGCTATTAACCGAGTTTCTTATGATTATGGAAAGATGTTTGTCGCGTTTATTTATAATACAGCTACGAAATCCCTGCACACGTGGGTTACGACTCCTTTAACATCTGAAACCTTTGTACAGTAAACTACGGTTATAACGAACTCAAAGGGACCACTAATTTTAGTGCGTTATAACCGTAGTTCGTTATAAGCATATATACAGCATAACTACAGCAAATAGGACAAAAAAGTAAGTTCGTTATATCCGTCAGTTCGTTATAAGCGTGTTCATTATAAACGTTGTTTACTGTATTTCGGAAGCCAAAACGTCATGTATGTGATCCCAGCAATGGATAAAGTGACCAAACCCCAAAAGTCTTAAAAAATCTCTGAGGCATACAGAAATCATTGTACGATTCCGATTATATCATAATCATGTGTTTATAAATTACAATAAAATAGTGATGATACAAGGTGTTCATGATAAGCTGAGCGTATCCGGCCCCACCATGCACAAACACATGCATCGACAAGTCAATTGTTTACTTTAAAAGACACACGAAAGTATGGTACAGTCAAAATAGGGAATTGCCAACATCATTTCGGTCACTGATGAGTCAAATTTGGAAATGCCCTCCTCATGTCCGAAATCAAACTTTTGGAAACATTACTGAGGCCTTGAATGTTGATGAAACAACTTTTTAGCAAGAGTCCACGTCGTCGCCGTCGTCGTCGGGGTACGAGATGACACGCAGTCAACCAAGTCACCGATCTCGTTGGTATCCAATAAATCAGTCAAACTATTATCTATTTCCATTACCAATCCTTAGACAATATCTTATAAAATGTGTCTACCAAGAATTTAAGAAAGGGTCTGGAGTACACAAGATCATCCTCGATTGTCCTTGGTATAATATCGTATAAGATACATGAGATAACTTCCCGGGGCCCATTCACAGCTTGGTTTTGGAAGTGACCATCCCCATCTTTCTTATCTCAAAGTTATTTCGCTTATCAATGTACAGTAAACTACGGTTATAACGAACTCAACGGGACCACTAATTTTAGTTATAAGCATATATACAGCATAACTAGTGCAAAAAGTCGGGTCAAAAAAGTAAGTTCGTTATAAGCGTGTTCGTTATAAACGTAGTTTACTGTAATCTGATTGGGTGTCTATACTCAGGGGCTTGTTCTGAAAACGAAGCGAGGTTAAAAACGAAGCTAGGTTAGCGAAAGGGTTCATGGTATACTTCATTATAAAATGGGGATTAAGTACACTGGATAACCGAGGTTGAAAACAAAGCTATGTTAGCAAAAGGGTTCATGGTATACTTCATTAATAGAATGGGGATTAAGTACACTGGATAACCGAGGTTGAAAACAAAGCTATGTTAGCGAAAGGGTTCATGGTATACTTCATTCATAGAATGGGGATTAAGTACACTGGATAACCGAGGTTGAAAGCAAAGCTATGTTAGCGAAAGGGTTCATGGTATACTTCATTCATAGTATGAAGATTAAGTACACTGGATAACAGAGGTTGAAAACAAAGCTAAGTTAGCGAATGGGTTCATGGTATACTTCATTCATAGAATGGGGATTAAGTACACTGGATAACCGAGGTTGAAAACAAAGCTATGTTAGCGAATGGGTTCATGGTATACTTCATTCATAGTATGGAGATTAAGTACACTGGATAACCGAGGTTAATAACGAAGCTAGGGTAGCGAAAGGGTTCATGGTATACTTCATTCATAGAATGGAGATTAAGTACACTGGATAACCGAGGTTGAAAGCAAAGCTAAGTTAGCGAAAGGGTTCATGGTATTTATCATTCATAGTATGGAGATATAGTACACTGGATAACCGAGGTTGACACACCTGCACTATAAAAACGGCATTAGTTCGGACGAGTACTTCACTTCACCTCACCTCACCTCATCTCACCTCACCTCACCTCACCTCACCTCGTCTCACCTCACCTCACCTCACCCCACCCCACCCCACCCCACCCCACCCCACCTCACCCCACCTTACCTCACCTCACCCCACCTCACCTCACCCCACCCCACCCCACCCCACCTCACCCCACCCCACCCCACCCCACCCCACCCCACCCCACCCCACCCCACCCCACCCCACCTCACCCCACCTTACCTCACCTCACCTCACCTCACCTCACCTCACCTCACCTCACCCCACCCCACCCCACCCCACCCCACCCCACCCCACCCCACCTCACCCCACCTTACCTCACCTCACCCCACCTCACCTCACCTCACCCCACCTCACCAAATAGATCAGGCGAGGGACACAATTTAATGTCCCCATCTTCCTCTCAACAGCAGGACAACGTGTCCACTAACGCCGCGCTCAACACCCTCATTGACGGGATAGGACAGCTTGGCAGCCCGCAGAGTAAGTAGCATTATGTCACTCCTCTGACAGATCCACAACACTTGATAGTATGTCTAAACTGTTGATTGTATTTTTAAACTGTTGATTGTATTTCTACACTGTTGGGTGTATTTCTACACTGTTCATTATATTTCTACACTGTTCATTGTATTTTTAACATCTTAAGTAGCATTATTTCACGCCCAGTCTGACAGTTCTACAAACTATAAAACCTCAATGTCAAGGAATTACCAGTTACCATTATCCGCCGAAATATGGTTCCATTAGGCATGTCACTGTGCTAAACTTACGATTACCCCGCCTGCGCTAGAGTAATGTCTGACTCACAGAGAAGCCGACTCGTTATTGTCAAAACTTAGCGTGAGTATACACACACGTGATAATGGAAATATAAATACATGAAGTCTTTGTTTGTTTGTTTTTTGTTTAACGCCGTACTCAGCAATATTCCAGCTATATATATGACGGCTGTCTGTAAATAATTGAGTCTGGACCAGACAATCCAGTTGATTGGCATCATGGGCATCGATCCATGCAATTGGGATCGATGACATGCATCAACCAAGTCAGCGAGCCTGACCACCCGACCCCATTGGTCGCCTCTCACGACACGCATAGTCGCCTTTTACGGCAAGCATGGGTTGCTGAAGACCTATTCTACCCCGGATCTTCACGGGTCTAAAGACACTTAGAAGTTGGGAGAACATGAATACATGACACTTTTTATGCATAGCAACTTCTTTTTTATTTTGTCACGACTCTGAAACTTTGTGACAGTACAGCTCGCACAGATGAGTATGTCTAAACATGTTTCACAATTGCGAGGATCGATGCTCATGATGTCAATCACTGGACGGTCTGGTCCAGGCTCGATTATACACAGACCGCCGTCATATAGCTAGAACATTGTTGTGTGCGGCATTACACAACAAACAAAACACACAAGCAGGCGGCACTGATGGTAACTAGTCAGATCTTATATACGACTGACCCGATCTCAATACACAAAGGTATTACATTGTCACAGCTACTCCTGTCTTTGAAACTGCTTATGTATTTCAACACTGTTGGTAGTATTTCCACATTGTTGGTAGTATTTCCACATTGCTGGTAGTATTTCCACACTGTTGGTAGTAATTCCACATTATTTGTAGTATTTCCACATTGTTGGTAGTATTTCCACACTGTTGTTAGTATTTCAACTTTGTTGATTGTATTTCCACAATGTTTGTAGTATTTCCACACTGCCGGTAGTATTTCCACACTGCCGGTAGTATTTCCACGTTGTTGGTAGTATTTCCACACTGCTGGTAGTATTTCCACTCTGTTGGTAGTATTTCCACATTGTTGATTGTATTTCCACGTTGTTGGTAGTATTTACACATTGTTGGTAGTATTTCCACATCGTTGGTAGTATTTCCACATTGTTGATTTTATTTCCACACTGTTGGTAGTATTTCCACACTGTTGGTAGTATTTCCACATTGTTGGTAGTATTTCCACACTGTTGATAGTATTTCCACATTGTTGATTTTATTTCCACACTGTTGGTAGCATTTCCACACTGTTGGTAGTATTTCCACATTGTTGGTAGTATTTCCACATTGTTGATTGTATTTCCTCATTGTTGATTGTATTTCTGCACTGTTGATAGAATTTCCACACTTCGTGTCGCAGGTAAAGTCAACGTGACGATTGACCCTCGTGAGTTGCTCCTCCAGAGCGGTGGTTACTACACATACAAGGGTTCGCTCACCAACCCGCCCTGCTCGGAGTCCGTCAGATGGGTCGTCATGAAGAATGCGATACACACCACTGAGGCAAACGTAAGTAATTACTCCGCTTGTCGTGCCACAACCACCTGTCCAACTAGCTCCCAGTGCATCATGTTTGGAGCCGAATACAATAGAGATAGGTTGGTTGATAATCTATGATCTTCCCGGAGTGAGTGTTTAGTGAGTATTGTTTTACGCCACGTTTGGCAATATTCCAGCAATACTAGGGAGGATGAAACCGGAAATTGGCTTCATTCCTTGACCTATGTGAGGAATCAAACGCGGGCCCTCGGCGTGACGAGCTAACGCTTTAACCACTAGGCTACCCCACCGCCCTTCTTACCCGAACATGGACCGTTGCTCATGCTGTCAACCATTTGTTTGTTTGGTCGATGAGTATGACAATGTTGCCGGTATACCTGTAATATGGCGGACGTACTGGACTGGCGGGCCTTCACTGGATTGTCTGGTCCAGACTCGATTTTTTTATAGACCGCCGTCATATAGCTGGAATATTGCTGAGTGCGGCGTTTAACAACAAACAAAACAATCTAAATGCCTATCAAAGACTTCATGAATTTATATTTCCATTACCACGTGTGTGTATACTCACTCTATGTTTTGATAATAACGAGTCGGCTCTTCTGTGAGCCAGGCATTACTCTAGCGCAGGCGAGGTGATCGTCAGTTGAGCACAGTGACATCCCAAATGGAACCATATTTCAACTTAAAACACATCTGTGACGTCATTCTATTGTTTGAACGCTCAATTATTTTTCAGGAATGGAGAGTTGCTTGTCATCTGTACATTATCTTGAAGCAGCATTTGAATTTTTCAAATATTTTCAACTACAGAATATTTTGTCAAAGTGTAAAAGTAGGGATGAGTTTTAAGTAGGGGAATATCCTCGTAACTCTCCATTCCTTAACAATTATGTGCCTCGGCCCCTGCGGGACCCCGGCTCCATTATTTTTAAGGAATGGAGAGTTACTCGGACATTCCCCTCTACAACAAACGAACACAATGATTTACGATCTACACGTCATCTGTCTTGCAGGTTCTTATTCTGAAGTCCCTTGAGGTCCTCGACGGAGGCACTCTCACGAAATACGGTAACGAGCGACACGTGCAACCTCTCAACGGCCGGCCTGTCTACACCAACACGTGTTGAGGATGTGTTCGGGTAGCATGTTCAATGTCCCAGGAACACGTTTCTCTGTCATTAGGTTATTTTGTCTCTCGATGTAAACTGACAGTTGGTGTTTCACGTATATGTTCCCGAACAACTTGCGCGAAAGTCACATTTGTAGTCCCTTGACGTAATTAACCTCGACCGTATAGGAGGCTAGGGTCCCCATGAATGTAGAGGGCATGATCGGAAGGCACAGTATGCACGTTCACTATATATGTATCTGTCAACACGTGTCAGAGTGTCTCAACAGCTGTTGGATAATTAGGTTCATGAATCGTGATTTTCCTTTTAAGGTTCACTCAAACACATATTCCCGTGTCCCATGTAGGGATGGATAAGGTTTTTAAATTTTAAATTTTATTTCTCAAGTAAGTTACGAATCTGACAGGTAAACCTGATTCCCGTGTACCACGTGACTTGTTTAACGCCACCCCCTGCGCCAGGTGTGAAGGACGGGGCCGTGACCATGGTAACCACGTCTGTAGCACTCCTCCTGGTTCCACTTCAGGTTAAACACACTACGAATGACATGACGTCCGCAAAGTCTGCGTCTGATAGAAAACGAAATTAGAGCTCGAAATGTTTTTTTCTTATTGTGCTTAACAATAATGTAAAAACATTTAGGGCGGGTTGTCATGAGAAGCAAGAGTATATTTTACAAAGCATTATATATAGTACTTAAGCTGTGCGGGTGAAAATCAACCAATACTGGTGTATTCGGGTATATGATGTGTCTCCATAGTATTAATTGAAACAGTCTTCCTGTTGATCCAAGTATTCCATCTTGTCAAAGAACAATCATGATCATATTCTGAAATGTCGTCGTTCTTAAAGCTGACAGCGTCGCAATCTCATTAAAATCAGACCTTAGTTCTCACTACAGCTAAACAAATCTGAGGACATCCCATTAGGGGTCACGTCTGAACGACCCTTTCATCCGACCAATCAGAGCGTCGCTTACCAGATCATGAAAGTGACAGTCGGAATGTGATTATAATCTTGCAACCTCGAAAACTTTAACACGAGGTATTCCGAACGATGGTTCAGGGCTTGACGACTGAATCCATACAATCTATACCATCTATTAGCCATTCCAGAATGGTTATTTGTTCAGGTTTCAAATTTTTTATCGAGAATTTGTCAAAATATGTTTCGAAGCGTAGTCGCCAATTTGAAATAAGTGCCGTAAAGCACGAGTAAGTTGCCTTCTGATTGGCTAATGTGAACTTCTTGTCTGTCATTTCATTGGTCGGTCAAAGTTCGCGCAAGGTCGGTCTGACGTGACCCGTAATGGGTTGTCCTCAGATCTTTGTTTTAGCGGTAGCGAGGACCAAGATCTGATTTTAATGAGATTGGACAGCGTCGATGCACGAATCCCTGCTCATTCCGATGACGTGGCATTTTCTGAATTTCCTTTAATCTTTTTAATTGTTTCCAACAATATATGTGACCATCCATGAGATTAGGGATTTGTGGGTGAAAAAAAACATTTTGACTTTTCATTATATTTCAAAACTACCGTATCTTCGGAACACAAGAATACATTTCATATTTATTACAGAGATACATGGCATCAAACGCTTGTACTCATTTTCCGTCTTATGATAATGTCTGATTAATTGAAAGTAGATGTGTATGCTGAAAGGTTTTGAAATAATGTTTTCGTTACATTGCGAACAAACGAGACAAAAATAAGATATGTTGTGACCGCACACATGGCGATCTTCACTGAAGTAAGTTGAAACGTCAAACGTCTTCAAACGTCTTCAAGATGTCAGATCACAACTGTATCCTAGCACTCATAAGGTCCCCTTTCTCCTGAGGGGTCACATATACAACCTCGATTTGTTGTACAAATTGATTTTAGTTTAGATGTTTAGCAGGCAGCCAGTCTCGATATTTAGGAGGACCTAGTGTACGGCATCTTCCCGAGGCAAGCGTGTCCACTAGCCTATATCAAAGCCTAGTTTCTACCCTTGCCACATCGAGGCCACTTTTCTTGGCTCGACCATGGCGCCAACTCGCGGTGATCACGAGTTGTGCCCCATGTATTGAAAACGCGATATCCAATCAGATCGCTGTATGGCTTCACAAGGATGGCGACTACCACAGGCGTCGACCTAATCGATCAGATAACGAAAACATTCGCTATTTCATCCCTAACACAATAAATGAAAAAGACATATTCGTGTCAACAAAGACAGGCAGGGGTAAATCACTTTCATACGACCTACGAAGGTGTACCAGTCGTGGATGTTGATTTTGTGAAACGTTCTCTGATTGGACTATCGATAGGTGCGATAGTCCAATCATATTTAGCCCAAGAAGGTGGGCTTGGTGTGGCAAGAGTGGAAATAACACTTTGATAAAAAAAAAAAGACCAGTGGATGCCCTTGCCTCCGGAAGATGAGTGTACGGCGTACGTTAGCTGTCCAAAAGGTTGTAGAGATATGTTGAACTACACACATATGCAATTTACCTATTCAATTCATTATTGACTTACTCTCGACCTTTGGTGGGTCGGTCTGCATTGTTATAATTGTTATGTTTAGCCAGATAGTCCAGTTTACACATGCCTATCGCAGACTCTCTTGTAGATGGCACTACCCACGTTCGTTGTCATGGCTACGCCTCCAACCTATGTATTGTAGCTAGCTCTTCATATGTTGGCGTTTTCACCATCTTGATATTAGTGATGCGACACTCATATATTGATGGCATAAAATAAGGGCACATACATTAAGAGCAGGATGCCTAATACGGCATCACAGTTTCCCGAGGATAGCCGATGATGGCCGATGATGAATGCCGCGACACCTAAGAGAGAAACGTCCTGTTTTTTCTGCTGATATTCATCAGATATATTGTACACGGAAGTAAACTTGCTCACTTATTTTTACCATCAGTATATTTTCTTTGGGCAGCCTCGTTTTCACTGTATAACTCGAGAACTCATTGGTTTAGGCGGCAATCGGCCACCAGAGGGATCTCTGCAGAAACACGAGATATCAGCTTCTATCCTCATACAAAATCTCTCCTTGATGCGTATGCGCAAATGGGTATTTCCGGCAGAGTACTATTTGCATATTGGCGCCGCGTTTCATTCATAAAAAAAGTAGATCGTATTTTTCCTTTAGATAAAATCTACAGAATACTCGTAACACATTCCTCATTATAACAAACAGTGGTTTGACTGGCCCAGAATCGGTTAATGGGGGGCCATGATACTGCTGGCATATTGCTGACGGCGGCGTCAAAATGCAACCATCTTAAAACGAGGCTCCAAAGCTGTATCGACGTCATTGCGCATTGTTATATCTCTCTGTCAATTATATAAGTTGTTTTTCTCGTGTTTTACTGGTACCCGTTGCATGTCTCTGTAGAAGGTTACCCAGTTTACAAGCAGTCGTATGCCCTGTTGTACCACTACCGATAAACAAACTGGTTGTTCAGAAGCTGCTTGTGAAAGTAGTGGAGAAAGGAAGTCCACCTCCATGTATTGTCGGACTACAGGACAGAAAAGAGTAAACACTTGAAAACTGGATTTGACCAGCAATTACACATGTTGTCTAAACATTACTAGGCAGCAGACTTGAGGTCCAAAAAGTAGGACAACCGTATCTAATATTTCACCATCGAATAACCTTTTCTTCTTATTTTTTTTTGTGGGCGTTGGGGTAGCACAGTGGTTAAAGCGATCGCTCGTCACGCCGAGGGCCCAAGTTCGATTCCTCACATAGGTCAAGGTATTGAGGCCAATTTCTGGTTTCTTAAGACCTGGGATCGATTCCCCATATGGGGACAATGTGTGAAGTCCATTTGGTGTCCCCCGCCGTGATATGTTTGGAATATTGCTAAAAGCTGCGAAAACTATACTCACTCTTGTTTTTTGTTGTCATTTTGGTCACTTTTTGTAATCCATAAGGACACAACGGGAACCAGTTCAACATGTATTTACCTTGTCTAGCGTCTGTTACCCACTGCATCGTTCCCACTAGGCCACGAACATCTTCGTGTAAATAAAGTCGTTTTACCAACCTCTGTTTCTGTTGTGACTCACCCCCATGAGAATTCCGGGGTAAACAAAAATGGTTCCAAGTAATATTTACTTGTAAGAGGCGACTAAATGGATCGGGATGTGTGACTTCCGGGGGCGGTCGGGTAGCGTAGTGGTTAAAGCGTTCGCTCGTCACGCCGAAGACCCGGTTTCGATTCCCGACATGGGTACAATGTGTGAAGCCCATTTCTGGTGTCCCCCGCCGTGATGTTGCCGGAATATTGCTAAAAGCGGCGTAAAACCATATTCATTCACTCACTTAGGTCAATGTGTGGCATAACCCAACGACGTGGGACGTTGTTCATGGTATCAACCACAGGTTTGTCTCGACCAGACTCCATTAATGACGAGCATCCGTGACATAGATGGATATTGCTGAATGCGGCGTAAATCAGTCTTCACGTCCGTGTGACGTCATCACGTAAGATGTTTACTTGGGACGCACGGGTGGCCCAGTGGTTTTAAGGAACAGAGACGACACACCCTTAATTGTGCCGGGATCCGTTGTTTGTTCATTCATTCATAGATCTTTGGCCTATCATCACTATAACTGTGCTCGTGAGGCGACTATGCTTGCCGTAAAGGGCGACTACGCTTGTCGTAAGAGGCGTCTAACGGGATCGGGTGGTCAGGTTCGCTGACTTGGTTGATGTATGTCATCGTATCCCAATTGCGTTGATCGATGGTCATGATGTCAATCACTGGATTGTCTGGTCCAGACTCGAATATTTAAAGACCAGCGTCATATAGCTGGAATATATTTGAGTGCGACGTTAAACAACGAACAAACAAACTAACAAACAGACCTGTGCTCGTGGGTTTCACCAAAGCAGATCATACACGGCCTGAAAAACAGTGGATTTTTTTTCAGACAGTACCTTTTGACATTAAACCAGACCAGCTCAAGGTCGCCATGGAGAGATTTCTAGTGTGATTTAACCTTGGGTAGTGCTGCAATTTATTATATACTTCAGTGTGAAAGACTGAGTTTCCCGAATTTGAGAAATGTGATATTTCTCTGCAGTGAACATAACACTTGGACGGAACTATTGTCATACAAGAGTTACCTCCCCGCATATTGTCTCCCTTTTCGTAAGTGTCTAGCCCCTATACAAACTGGTGACTTCCTTTTTACGTACAGTTCCACATTGACAAGGCGAACTAATGACAGATGGCCATTTATGGCGTAAATGTCTCCTCTTACCGTTTGTTATACTTTTGAAAATGTTTCGTTAAACTGTAAATCTCTCATTTAACTCTTATCAATCAAGGCTGTTCTTTTTGCAAAGCACCATTTTAGTTACTTGACCGGCGTGTATTCTTTCGCTTCTAACATCGGTCTTGCAGATTTCAAGAATATTATTTTTATTGAAGTTGATTTGTATAATTATAATCATATCCATGTGTATGATCAAGAATTTTCGTGACCCTAATTCTGTTTTGTTACTTTTGTATATATTTTATCAGATTTTGCAAACCCGGAACTACTTTGTAAGTCGTAATGACAAGGGGTGGTGAAACGTCGCGGCGTGTTAGGTCGGGAAAATTTACGTTTCAATGTTTTATATTTGTAATGAAACTATTTAATTTTCCCGTTGACAACTACATAAAAAGTATGATACATAGGATAGTCCATGTCTCTCGTGAACAATCATGTTTCTTTCGTCTCGTGAAAATATCTCCTATCCCCGTCACTCGATAAGAGAACCATGATATCTACCCACATGGCATAGCTTTACTCGGTTCGTATACTCATAAGAGGCGGGTAACGGGACTATCTGTGGATGCAATAATATCATGCTTGGTCAAACTAAACAAGAATTCCGAATTCAAATACAAATGAAATTTGGTTATATCCT